TGTGCATGTAGAAATTTTTGAAATGGTGTATCTTTGGCTATGTATATTTTCACCAAAAAAAAAAAGGTCGAGAAGGGAGAGGGTTGACATGTTGTAGGGTTGTTAACCAATGTCATAAAACAATATGTGTACTACTGTTTTATGAGAAACTATTTGTTCTGTAAGCCTTCACCTGAAGTACAATTTAAAAAAAAAAAAGGAAGAAAACAAAAATACTCACATCTGGACCAATAAGCAACATCATGATAAACAGAGAAAAGATTGAAGTTGTTAAGGATTTCATTTTATTTGGATCCACAATCAACCCGCAAGAAAGCAACTGGCAAGAAATCAAACGACATATCACATTGGGAAAATCTGCTGCAAAAGACCACTTTAGAGTGTTAAAAAGCAAAGATGTCACCTTGAAGACTAAGGTGCACCTGACCCAAGCCATGGTGTTTTCAGTTTCCTCATATGCATGCGAATGCTGGACAATGAATAAGGAAGGTCGAAGCAAAATTGATGCCTTTGAATTATGGTGTTGGCAAAGAATATGGAATATACCCTGGACTGCCAGAAGAAGAAACAAATCTGTCTTGGAAGAAGTACAACCAGGATGCTCCTTAGAAGCAAGGGTGGTGAGACTACATTTCACATACTTTGGACATGTTATCAGAAGGGATCAGTCCCTGGAGCAGGACATCATGCTTGGTAAAGTAGACAGTCAGCAAAAAAGAGGGAGACCCTCAACAAGATGGATTGGCACAGTGGCTGCAACAATGGGCCCAAACATTACAACGATTGTGAGGATGGGGCAGGACCGGGCAAGTTTTCGTTCTGTTGTACATGAGGTCGCTATGATTTGGAACTGACTCGATGGCACCTAACACCAGCAACAACCTGCCAGCCTTGGTTCTAGACATGGAGGATCCAGTGGTGGGCAAGAGAGATCCTGCCTGTGCTCTCAGGGAGCTGGCTGCCTGGTGGAGGAGGGACAGACAATAAACACACAAACAACTAAATAAGATTATCAAAGAGCATGAAAACACATGATCAAATTAACACAGGATAAGGCTTCTTGCCTGTCACGCAGGAGACACGAGTGTACTTCACAGCCAGCGAACCTCATGCACAGCCACCACCCAGGACCAGATCACCCAGTGAGCACGGTGCACACAGGCTTACTTGGGCATCCTCACTAATCTGCAGTGAAGAGTTTCACCTGTTTTTCACCACATCCGAGATGGGGCACCACCCGTCTGTCAGTGGAGGCTTGCATGTTGCAATGATGCTGAACAGTTTCAGCAGAGCTTCCAGACTAAGACAGACTGAGAAGAAAGATCTAGCTATCTGCTTCTGAAAATTAGCCAACAGAAACCCTATAGATCATAACAGTTCCATCCCACTGTGCGCAGGTTGCCAAGAGTCAGGAGCCGACTCGGAGGCAGCTAACGGCCACGGCAACAAAATCGTGGAAGGCACTAATGATAGCACAACACAGGGGAGGCCGCTCCAGCGCAGGGGCTCACGGAGTCACACTGTCAAGAGGACATGCTCCAGCTGAGACCTTGATCTGGAGAAGGCATCAGCCAAGAGAAGTGCCACAGAGAGGGTTTTCCTAAGCTTTTCCGCTCCACAATTGGGTGACTGTGGGGGTGGGGTATGAACTGGAAAGTCAGCTCCAAAATTAGATGACATGTATATATATAAAGGTCCCAGGGTGGCATAAATGGTTTGCACTCACCACTAACCGAAGTCTACGGCCATACCACCCTGAACGCGCCCGATCTCATCTGATCTCGGAAGCTAAGCAGGGTCAGGCCTGGTTAGTACGTGGATGGGAGACTGCCTGGGAATACCAGGTGCTGTAGGATTTTTTTGGAAACCCTGGTGGCATAGTGGTTAAGATCAATATCTGCTAACCAAAAGGTCAGCAGTTTGAATCCACCAGGCGCTCCTTGGAAACTCTAAGGGGCAGTTCTACTCTGTGTTACAGGGTTGCTATGAGTTGGAATCGACTCAATGGCAATGGTTGTTTTTTTTTTTTTTTCGTACTAACCAAAAGGTTGGCAGCATGAACCCACCCAGCGGTCCCATGGGAGAAAGGCCTGGCGATCTGTTTCCGTGAAGATCATAGCCAAGAAAACCCAATGGGGCAGGGGTTGTTCTACTGTGTTGCATGAGGGTCACTATGAGTTGGAATAAACTTGATAGCAATGAGTTTATTTTATATATATATATATAATATATATATATATATATCAGAGCAAAGAAGGGAGAGAGAGAGGGAAAAGGTGACAGAGAGACAGAAAGATATTTGTCCGAAGGAGAAGGACTATCTGTATTCCTAAAGCTGTATTGCTCACTTAGATGAGGGGTAAAAGGCCTTCCCATGGGACAGTTTATCTCAGTTCATGAAATGTGAGTGACATGCATTTGGGAACAGCAAAGCCGCCTCTCCGTGTCTGATGTTGGGCCATAGAGGAAACTGCAGTGATGGGTCTGAATTGTCACTGGGAGCCAGGAGAGCAGGACAGACACCTGTCTGAGTGGGAGTTTCTCCTCTTGTAATAAAAAGCGTAGCTGAAACTCGAAAGCTTTCTGAAAGATGGCAGAGGCTCATCATGAGTCTCAGGTCCACCCCGGAGGGAAAGGGAGAGGCTTCTTGAAGGACTCAGGGTAGTGTCTGCTGTTCGTTCAGCACAGGAGCCATCCTGGAAGGAGACCTCACGGGGCGGAGGACATAGACCCATGCTGCGTCCACATGTATTTCAAGAGGCAGGCGGGCGTTTGCCTCCAGCTGGCCAGAGAGCACCCTGCCACATGACAAGCTGCCTGTGGCTGATTCTTGGTTAAATTTTAGGAAGCAGAGGGAAGCGAAGGGTGGAGCGGCTCCACAGGCAAGAAAAGGACTTGTAAGCCAGGCTCTTAGGAAACCATCGTGACTTCTAGCCGGTCCAGACCAATGAAGAACTTCACAAAGAAAAGTTGGCTGACCTGAGCGGTTAAGACCAATTAACCCTCGCGGGGCTAACGGCCATGAGCCAGGCGCTGTTCTCAGTGCTTTATCTGACTTATCTCACTTAACCCCTACCCTGAATGTTATAAAATAGGCGTTACGATGATCCTCATTTTACAGAGCAGGAAGCCTCTGCTCAGAGAGGTTAAGTAACTTCCCTGAAGTCACCCAGCTCAGGCCAGGGTTAAACACACGCTTACTGCCTCCCATGTGAGTGATGACTCCTCACCGTCTGTAACTTTAAAGTATCCCTTGAAAAATAAGAAAGCCAGAACTTCAAGGTGACATGACAGACACACTTCCTTGTCCAGGAGGACAGGTAAAAGACCACAAACCACCCCCTTATCCTTCTGGTCCCCTGGGTAGTGCAAACAGCACGCTCGGATAACCAAACGGTTGGCTGTTCCAGTCCACCCACAGGCGCCTTGGAAGAAAGGCCTGGCAATCTATTTTTGAAAAATCAGCCACAAAAACCCCAATGGGGCACGGTTCTACTCTTACACACACAGGGGAACCATGAGTCGGAGTCAACTTGATGGCAACTGGTAAGTGGTTTACCCTTCTCCTGGCTGCCAACAGCACTCCCAGGTGTGTCCCTCTCTCATAGTCCAGGCTCACCTACAAATATTTATTGCGCATCTGTTGTTGAGAGGCTGCGGGTAGGAGCAGATTGCCTGGGTTTGAATCTTGATGCTGCTCCTCTTTAGCTGTGCGGCCTCAGGCAAGTTAATTTAGACTCTCAAAGCCTCCCGTCCTTCCTCTGTCAAGTGGGCACTTCACTGTACCTGCTTCATTGAGTAGCTGTGAGGATTCCATGAGGAACGTCACTGAAAAGGTTTAGGACGGCGCCCGGCACACGTCACCTGTTCAGCTGGCTTTTGATATCGTTCTCTTTTTTTATTACTTATACAGTTGTTAGCTTGTATTCTTGCAGCCCTAACGCTGTCATTTCCCCAAACAAATACCTGCTCACAGAAGAGCTCTCACTTCAGTTTATCTTGTGTTTCAACAACAGTCACGGCTCATGTTAACTGAGCACTTATGTCCTAGGCATTGTTGTACATAAACCAGTTGTCCTCGAGTCGACTCTGACTCACAGGGACCCCACATGTGTCAGAGCAGAACTGTGATCCATAGATTTTCAGTGGCTGAGTTTTCAGAAGTAGGTCACCAGGCCTTTCCTCTGAGGTGCCTCTGGGTAGATTCAAACCTCCAACCTTTCAGTTTCTTTTTCTTTTCTTTTTTTTTTGTAGTTCTGTGTACTGTATCCATTCAGAGTTCCTGGGGAGTGCAAACAGTTAATGTGCTCAGCCACTAACTGAAAGACTGGAGCCTGTTAACCATTTGTACCGCCTAGGGACTCCATTGTCATAAATGCTTCACACTCCTCATCGCACCCCCGGGAGGTTGGTACCACACAAGTACCCATTTTTCAGATGAGAAAACTGAGGCACAGAGACCAGAAGTCAGTTGTCCACACATGTGGCCCGAAAGTGGTATAGGTGGAGTCCAACCTGGGTGTCCATGTCCAGAGTCTACACATTGAACCACCAAGCTTTAGAGCTGTCCATGTTTTCGGCAGAGTAGCTCGAGCTCAGCGGTCACAATAGGGCAAAAATGGGACATGGTTCTTTCTGGCGTCTTTTATAGGCAGGGCTGGGCCTGTGGGTGTCCCTGCTTTGTCCCTGTTGAGTCTGCACTACCGTCACCTGTGCCGGGGGCAGCAGGAAGGTGGCAGGCTGACCCCGTAGCTCCACATGGCGGCCGGTCTCCTAGGGACAGTCAGTGAAAGGGTTCAAGGGCAGAGGGGTAACGCAGAAAGAAAACAGATGGGAAGGTAAGTAGTTAAATCAATATACACCAGGCAGCGAAGGGAGGGGAAATTTGGAGTAAGGCAGTCATGTCAGAGGATGAAGTTTGAACACAGATCATGTGTGTACATATCCAGACAAATCAACAGTATCTCTGTCCACTCCATGCTGTTTGAGATGTAAACGGGGAGCAAAACACACACAGACAGACACACACACAATGCTCTTTTATTAAATTTTTCTGGAATCCTGTGATTTTTTCATACAGTTTTTCAAAAACCACCGGGTAGAGAATTAAAGATTTAAGTCCGTTTTTGTAGTGGCCAGTTCTGCCCAGGTTAAGGGTCGTTTGTGTCTTAGCAGGGCCATGTGCTAAGTCTTCCTATATTTTAAACAGATCATGTCCTTTTAATTTGAAAGCACTTCTATAGAAGGCTGGCTTTGTCCCTTTTTTATTTTTTTAATGATGTTTGTTGTTGTCCAACAGGATGAAAAAGAAACACTGTATCTTTAAATTAGTAGACGCTGCATAATGAACCCTGGGCAGTGAAAAGGCTAATGTGCTGTGGAGGAGAAGGAGTTTAATCTAATTTAGTTGGAGGGTGTCTGTCTGCGGTGTTGTTTTTTGGAGTGTGGGAATAGAGGAGAGAAGCTGCCCCCTTGAATGGTCCCTCCCGAGCCAGAAGCAGTGGGGAGCCCCTAGAAGCCAGCAATCCAAAGCCAGGCATGAAAGGGGGATTAGAGAGACACTCTGATTTGCAATTCACACTAATGCACCCCGCGGAACCTTGGTAATATTTCAAACCACATTTCAAGAGAAGTGGCCTGAAAATAGCTGCCTGAGTCCTGGAGCAATGCTGGGCGCTGCAATCATCCATTTTATGATGTGGATGCTTTCTTTGGTTTGTTTGCCACTCCGGACTTACAACTCGTGTTTTTAGGTGTAATTAAAACTTTTGTGCCTGTTGCATCTGCTGCAACTCGCATTGACTTGCTGGTGGGCACAGAGGGTGTGTTTTCTACACTTAGAAGTAACACGTTAGCCCCACTAAAGGTGTTTTCCTCTGAGAAAAGTGTGGGGCGATGGTTTCAAAATGAAATTTCCTGTTTGTGTTTTACATTTGATAATAAGTTTCTGCAGAAATTTAATACAAGATGAGGTCAGGGAAAATGATGTCTACTGGCGTCAGAGAAGTCCTTGGCCTCATCAGGCAATGGTTAGTGAACAGATCAGAGTTAATTCTTACTTGAAGGTAGAACTGGAAAAGCTCACCATTAAATACAAATATTGATGACCTTAGAGGGCAAGAGAGGAAACTCAGCAATCATGTAACTGGCTTGCCAAACCAGGCTGTGCTGACAGAGAATTCAAGTGAGAGCTACTGGGAAAAGCATTACGATAACCTGAACCAATTTTTATCATAGAATTTACCAATACTATCTTATGTCTTTTTATAAACGTTGCTGATACATCCTTATTAGACGTACTGCTGTTCCACAGATTTTACTTTCAATTAGCTTGTAACATGCCAAGTCTATGGTTTAATTTATTTTTCTTGAGGAAAGTGTCAGTACTTTTTATCTTAAAGAGATTATTTGGGTTTCCTTTAATCCCATTTCAGAAAACCTTGCACAGTGCTTATAATTTCCATTGACTATAACATTACAAGAAAAGATGCAACTTGGATTTTCAGCAATATGTGTGTCAAAGTATTTCATACTTTTGAGTTTGCTAGTTTGAATGGAATGAAACCCTGCCTGGGTCAATCCTCCAGAAATACTTAGTTCTAGTTTTAAATATTGCCTGGCTCCTGAAATGATCCCTTTCAAAAACCTTATACTTTTTCCAGTGAATGTTTGCGCGAACTTGAGGGTGGATAATGTGTAAGGGGAGCTCTCTGCTATATTTTTTTAGGTGGTTGGGGTAAAAAAAAAAAAAAAAAATTCCTTGTCCCTGCAAACTGGCCCGTTATTTGAAATCATGTTTAATTATGAAGTTTCATTAAAAACCTTTGCTTAAAATTTTCGAGGCCTAATAAGATTT